AAAGTGCCATTAGTTCACACTCAGACTCTTTCCAGCTGGAGAGAGGGAGTGTTAAATGGAGCAGATTTCCTTGCAGCCTCCACACCAGGCACGGAGCAGCTCTTTCTGTCCTGCAAGCACTAAATGAGCAAAGCATCAACACCTTCCCAGAGATGCTCTGAGATGCTCTTCTGCAGAACAAATTACTTCTGGAAAGTAACAAAACACAGAAATAACAACAAATAAAGTACAGAGGAAATAAACCACCACCACCTGAGGCTGAATTCATATCTATTTGAGATTCCTGCAGTGATATCAGTTATCAGCCTGCTTGGTTTGTTTTTTTTTTTTTCCCAAGTTTGTAATTTGTTTACGTTCAAGCATAGAAAATTTTCTGTCAGTGTGCAGAAGATTATCATGTTCCTTAATTAGAAAGAAACTTCTTGAAAACTGGAGGAAAGATAGAGAAGTTGAAAATGAAAGACTGTGTGTGTAACAGAAAGGAGAAAGGCAGAGAGATTTCTTTTGAAATTCTGTACAAAATCTGTACAAAATTATGATTTATTATGGGGACAGGATTGACCTTGTATGGGATGGAATGTTACTGTCAGGTATTTGCTAAAAAAAAACCCAAACCAGCACATACAATTTTAAGCAATGGGACCAAATTATTAAAAAAATTTGTGCTGACATTTCAGGAGAGAAGGGAGGAAGGAGAAGAATGGCCCTGGAATACCAGACATGAACATCCTTTTAGAGAGCCCCATCTCTCTGCATAAAATTCTGTCAGATCTTGTAAAATCAGAGCTGTAGTACAAGTTGGACTGAATGGACAAAAAAACCTGAATTAAGTAACAGGCACAGGGCATTTACATAATGGAAAGTTCAAGTGTTTGGTCAACTGAGTTGGGCTGAATTCATGTCAGAGCACAAACCCAATCTGAGCAGCTGCAGCACAAAGCTGCTCCACAGCCCAGCAAGAAAAGCTGAGCTCTTTATAAAAAAAAAAAAACCAATCCACCTAGATAAAGGGAGGATGTCAGAACCACAGGAAATAGGGAATGAGCTGGGGCAAGTCGGGGCTGATGCAGAGGAGCTTTGGGATTGCTGATCGGGCAGAAAAAAAAAAGCAGGAAGGGAAAGTAAGAAGGGTGAAAATGACTCCTAAGTGCTGCAAATGGGAAGGCACAGCTCTGAGCAGGATTTCTCTGCTGTGTGTAACCTGCCAAGGAAGGGCAGTGCTCGGATGGCTCTGGGAAGCAAAACTACTGAGGGGTGTCTGTTCAGCTTCCAGTGGCCAAAAGCAGTGAGAGAAAATGAGGGAAGAGACACAGAGGGTGTGAAAAGTCAAAAGGGAAGAAAAATAAACAGAACTGAAAAAAAAAAAAAGAGGACTGTTGCTATGGGAAAGCAAAGCCCAGTCCAAATCACTGTGTTAAAATGATATAACTGCATTATCCAAAGGCATTTATTCAAACAGGAACACTTCCAGGCCAACTGCTCATTCTGGACATCTGTGGGACCATTGTCATTATGAGCACAGCTATCTTTCCAGTATTCATGAGATTTGGGAGTGCTTTGGGGGAAGGAAAACTTCTTTCCTCTCCACTTTGGCTCACAGCAAAAGCACTTTATCCGCATGTATTTTGCTACCCAGCAAAAATCACCAACACTCCAATGAAATGACTATGGAAACTCATAAAGCAGGGAAAATATACAAAATGAAAAAACCCCACACAGCAGAGAAGTCATAACTAGACCATTTTCCTATGGGAAAACCAAACTGTATTTCTTACCAGGAAAGACAATCAGATCAAGGAGAACATGAACAGCTGAGAGTAGGACTGACATTTCTCCTGAGACCTCTGGATGTAGGACTTCTGCTTTAGGGTATTTCTCTTGGGGCTTCAAATTCCCAAGTGAAGTTTTCCACCTATTTATCATTTGCTTTGTCACCTGAGGAAGAGGGGAGGCATTGATAATTTTGTGTCTGGGGAACTGTGCTGCAAGAGAGGCTGCAGGATGAAGCCTGGGAGGTCACTCCTGCTGGGATCTCCCATTGCTTCAACCACATTTCCACGAGTTTTTTTAACGTTTTGGACTCTCAAGATTTCAAGGAGCCATTTCATCCCAGGCTGGGCCAAGGAGAAATCAGTCATTTGCCTGGAAAAAAATTATCCTCTGCTCTTCCTAATACTGTTGCTGGTCCAGAAGGCAATGTGTTGAGGTAGCACAAATCCAGCAATGCTTCTGGTCACACATGAGTACCTGCTATCCACCAGTATTTACAGAGCACTTCCCATCTGACAGATATGCTAAAGGACCAAAGAATCCTTTCCCAAAATACACAAAAGAAAACCAATCTTTGCAGTTTGCTTTCTTATCAGTTCACTGGGGACAGACCTAGCTCGGAATCAGGGTATTAGATCTGTGCCACACCTTAAGGCCATCCAGTTTGTCACTGATGGCAGAGCACACACACACACACACACACACACACACAATCTGTGTGTCCCTCAGCTCCACACAGGAATTTAAATCTTAATTGAACAAGTCAGTTGGGACAAAAAACCATGAAGCAGCCCCCTCATCAGCCTGACCGTACTCAAATAATTAAATTATCTACTTGACAGAAAGCAAACAGAAAAACACACACTGTGCCTCCTGACAGATGGAACCTGAGCAACCTGGTCTGGCTGAAGGAGTCCCAGCCCATGGCAGGGGGATTGGAATGAGAGGCTCCTTAAGGCCCCTTCCAACCCAATCCATTCTGGGACTGCATATTTTGCGCCTTTAAGATTTTTCTCCAGTCAAAGTTCTTACACTTCATGTCACACTTCTAACGGTGCTTAAAAACCTGTAGCTTAATTGCTTACTGAAAATTTCAGTTTAGAAAAAAACACCATCGTTCTTGATTTACAAAGAAGAGATTAAAATACCAAGAAACAGAGGGATGCACAGAAGGTTACTCAGGAACTGCATGGCAGAAAAAAACCCTAATATTTCTATGGAGTCCCACTCCGTGGGATTATTCCCTCCCTTATGGTAAACTTTTTTCTATATGTTATCTCTGCAGACAGAGGTGTGAAGTACATTTTTATTTATTCACGTGGGAAGAGAAGTGAGATTGTTTCTTTCTTCCCTTCCATAAAGCTGTTATTCTGCTGAAAAGCAGATTTAAGCAGCGCTCCATGGCAAAGAGTTTGAGGGTTACTTTAAACTGGGACACAAAACTCCTCCTTTCCTGCCATCATTTCATGGTGTGTTCAGGGGAGTACTGAAGCGTGACATTGCATCATTAGGTGTAATACAGCCCCTGCAGGGGCTGATTACTGCAATGAGAGCTCATTTTCTTTAACAGTGTCTGAGATAAGGAAGGAATAAAATCCCAGGCCAGAAGCATCGTGGTAAAAAGGTGGGCGATGTCAGGAATGGAAAAACTGAAGGCACTTTTTGGTAGCCAGGGGAGGAAAATCCCCTGAATGGAGCGCTGAGCATCCCTGCAACCAAGACTTCCCCCTTCTTTGGAAAGTTTCTCCTGCTGCAGAGGCCCTCCTGCATCTTACCCGGGGTGGAGGCAGTTTCCAGCCTGATCCATACCCTGATCTCACCTGATACCCAGAGGCAGGAGCACCAGCACCAGGAGCAAGGCACAGGTGTCCTTTTTAGATGCTCCTTTTTAACATCACAAGCAAAAATTGCTCCTTGCCTTGATCTGCTCATGTGCTGTCCCTGGAAATATGCCTTTAGGTGACCCCTTTCCATGAGTAACTTCATACAAGGTCTGTTGATCCCAGACCTAATTACCTGCTTTGGAGAATTCAGAGGCTGCCCGTGACAAATACGGAGTCAAGGCTCTGACCAGCTCTGCTGTCCCCCCTCCACAGCCAGACCTCCAAAACAAATGAGACTTTGCCCTGCAATGCAAAGCAGTGCCTACAAACCTCTGGAAAAGTTTTGAGCTGGATCTTAGTCTCCAGGTCTCCTGTGAGACACAAGAATGGTAATGCTTTTCTATCTCCAAAGGGTATCACAAGGATATATTAATAAGACTCTTCAAATGGATTCTTGTTTCTTAAATAGGCTCTTCTAACATCGTGTTAGTAAACAAGAACCCATGATGGATAGCTCTGTGTACAGCCAATCTCCTGGGGGCTCAAGTGAGCTGAAGATAAAGGAATTATTTTCATATTTGATCACGTAAATGTCACTGGATATATTTGCAACAACCCACTCAAATCTTCCTGTAGGTATATGGAGTCATCTTCGACAATGAGCTTGCAAGATATACTCTAGTGAGGCCTTTATGAGGCCTCTCATTAGAAGTAAAATAATTTACAACTCCTTCCATTCCCTGCCATTTCATCACATGCTCCTGCTCCTGCAGTCTCACTTGATGACAGGATGGTACAGGCAATACAAAATATTAATGGGAAAGACATGGGACTGGTGATTTGGTGTAACAATGATAATAAAATTTGCTTCTGAACCAGTAAAAGAGCTGCAGCTGAATGCATCCCACTGCTAACCAGAACTGTCCTTAAAATCACTTAAAACTCTGTCCTCGCTCTTCTTTTTTCATCCAAACAGCTCCTTTCCTCTGCCTGTGTCACTTCCCCAACTGGGTTTTTGTTTCTCATCGTTGCAACGAACTTTTTGTTAATACCATCTACTTTTTCTTAACGTCTTTTGTCTCGTTGGAAGCCTTTCCAAACGAATTGGATTGTAAAAAGTTATTACGCTGGCAGCTGAAAGTACTGAGCAGCACAACTACAGTGCACACAACACGTACGGCGACGTTAATTATTTACCAGTTCCCACTTTGATTACATTTCGCATGGTGATGACACTCAGGGGCTTAATAGCTGCATAAAACATTGTGTGTGTTCTCTGCTGTCCCGGAATAAATCATCCCTGAGAAACTCAGCTCTTGGAAATAAAACACTCCCTTCAGCCGTTTCCCGGGATTGCGACGAGCGACGGGAGTTCCGTGCCGGCATTTGTTTCGAACAACGCCCTACCTTTGAAGAAACACTCCTTGCTGTGGACGATGTAGATCTTCTTGCTCTGCAGGCAGGAGGCTCGGTGCAGCTGGCAGTGGTTCTCGTAGAACCTGCCGTCGGAGCCGCAGACGGGCATGTAGGTGGCCCTGCACTCCTCCAGGCAGCGGCACTCGGGCTGGCGCGTGGCGGGGTTGAGGACGCAGCGGCTGCCGCGCCCGCACGGCTTCTCACAGGGTGCCTGCAGCCCGTCCAGCTCTGGGGAGAGCAGAGACACCGGTGAGAGCCACGTCTGCCCCGACACACCGCGCTCCCGACGGCAGCAGTGCGAGAAATAAATAATCTGGTTTTATCATAAGCAAAATGGATTTAGTGGCAAAACAGAGGGCGGTGGGATTTTTCTTTTCTTTCATTTAATCCCAAGGGTTTTAGGTGCCTCGTGGAGGCTGTAAGGTGAAAGGCCTCGTCTGGGCCTGACACCAGGAAAACGTCGCGGTCAGGATAGGGAAAAACTATAAAAATGGAAGATATACCCTGGCCACATGGCTGGCCTTTGTGTGTGGACACAATCAATCAGGAGGGAGGGTGACACCCTCTCCCAAATTCAAAAAATTACCTTTTAAGGTAAAATACCTGTCACCTGTTGAATATTTAACACCTTAACTGACCAAGAGGGTACAAAAAGGGCGTGTTTTTAAACCGTGTGTGCTTTTCCAGGCCATGTGACTTGGGATTGCTCCCCCAGCGCTGCAATAAAGGATTTCTTGCTGCAATTTTCCTTGTCCTGCAAGTATTTTGTTACTGTTTCATAAATTAAAAGCAAGGATTTTTCTGACAAGCAGCAAAGGCCTTGGAGCAGCCAAGCACTGCCCTTTGAGCAGCAGTGGGTGGAAGTGCCCTCAGACCTCCAGCGCTCATAACACTCAAAGTGCTGCACGGGGAAGTGATGGACGTGTGGCCCTTTGTTCTTTTAGCCCCTCGCAAACCCAGAGCCCAGAATAAACCCCAGGGAGTTCCAATCAGAAGGCAGCTCTGCAAACCTGCACTGCTGCAGCCACAAAGTGCCCCGAGTGCCAGCACACTCCAGCTCTGCCCACGCTCATCTCCCACCCTGCGAGCCACAGGCGTTCCCCCAGGAGCACAATGTCCCCAAGGCTAAAACACACACAGGTTTCAAGGAGAGCTCAGCAGACAATTGCTGAGAGCTTTGTAAAAAATAACCCCCCTAGAAAGACCATCACTGGAGTCAAGGAATGTTACTGGAAAACGCTTCTCACTGTAAAAGCGACCACGAGTATCTCTCTCTACACTCTGAATAATGGTACACAGGGAAAAATAACTTTCTACTGCTTTTAAGAATTCACTAGATATGATGTTCTGAATATTACTGTACTATCTGCTGTTTCATACTATTAAAAGGGTAAGGAAGCTGCCCTTGTGCTGTAACATTTTCTGCTTATGAAGTTTCCTCTCTTAAAGGCTTACACAGAATATCACTATAATTCACACAGGACAGGGCACTTCCAAACAAGCCACTGCTCAGAGCAATAATTAGCATTATACTCAATGAAGAGAGTTTCAGGAAATTAGATTATTCTATGCTAATTGGAGTACACAGGGTTGAGCATTACAAAGGGATGCTGCAAAAGGCATAATTACAGCAGGAATAAGCACTTCCTAGTGCACAACCTGCTGCCAGGCTTGCACAGCCTTCCAACAGCCACAGATTCCAGCTGCATCTGCACCAGGGACTCAGTCTGGACCAGCAAGGTGGTTTGGAAGCAAATCCCTGTTCTCTAAAAGTACCACGTGTAGGTTTGGCTCTTGGTGAGGTTTTGGTGGGCACCAGCTTTCAGAGGATGCTCAGGTGGAAACGCTGCCCCAGATGTGCTCCAGCATCCAATGGGACACACCCTGCAGCACCTGGAGCACCACAACATCCTCTCAAGTGCACCCAGGGCTCTTGCCTTCAAAGATTTTTCAAGCAGCCAAACAATTCAGTGGCAGAGCACAGACCAGAGCTCATCCAAAGCCCCCCAGTCACATGTAACAGAGATGTGAGGAGATCAGCACCAGCTACTTCACCCTACCAATCTCTTTTTATCATGCTAAATTCCCTGCTAACACCAAAACAGCCCCTGCCTTGCCCAGCATTTCATGCCAAAATGCCCCAGTGTTGAAGGTCCATTTCCTCTCCTCGTGATCAAGGGGTTAAAGCACGTGCACAAAGTTTCTAACAAAACCTCATTTTAATGGTCCCCATTAAGCCTTTGTTTTTATCACTGTAAATCTGAAAGGGAAAAAAGTCTGTTATTGAAGGATTAACTATTTGACTCAATAACTCATTAAAATTCCTCCAACTTGGCAAGCTGAGAAATATTGACTTTTCCTGACTTGTAATAAACTAGAAGGTCAAAGCATCTCTGAGCAGTGCAAAAAGTACGGCCCCTGGAAGGAGTGACTGACTCTTCTTTCCTTACTTCACTAATTGTTCCAGAATTTTTGCAAATTATCCTCATAAATGCAAATTTTGGGACCTTGGGGAGACCTCACTGTCAAGGCCATATTATTTATAGTGCCTGCTGTAAATCAGAGCAGCACAAAGGATGAGGGCTCGAGGAAGCTCTGGCCAAGCATCCTCCTCCTTCTAGTGGCAGGACCCACACCTGTACAGCACTTGGTTTGTCCATCACAATGGGCCTCAAAAGATGTGTTTTGGAGACTGCTGTTGATATGAAGGGTATTTAAAAATCAAGATTCAAGAGCTATTATTGTCTATATAAATGTAATTCAGCTACAACTACAGCAAAGCCCTTCCTGGGCTGTCTTGATCACTCAAAATTGATCTCTCAGAGCTCACACCAGCCAAGGACTGCACCGTGCATCCCACTGAAGGTTATTTCTGCCTCCTCCTTCAAGGTGGGCTGCTCTGATTTACTGCACCAGGTCACATCTGGGCAGGTCACAGCTGCACCCTGCCCTGACAGCAGCAAAAACCCTCTCAAGAGCCTCAAGTATTTTTGGTATTTTGATTTTTAATATAAAATTTGTGTTATTGAAGACAAACGCTGTGCTTATCAGAATGGAATTTTGAAGTTTTTTAATGATACATCCAAGATTTGGTTAAGCACCAGCTTATAAAAAAAAGATAAAATACTTAATCTTTCCTCCATCCACGGAGAAACCCCAGAAAGCCTGGCTACCTTTATGCCTCATTCACTCTGTTCACAGTTTAATTTATTCTGTGTTCCCAGATGGACAACTCCTGGTTAAACACAGCTTAGTGTGGTAAGGGCGAGGCAAACAGCCAGAAAGGAAGGATTCAAGTATTTGGGAATCCTGATCCAAGTCCTCTGAAATCTGTGTCTGCGAGCAGAGTGTGAACAGGGGATGCCTTTGCCAGAATCTCATCCTGCTGACAGCAGCTCTTTAATTCAATTATTATTTGCATAATCCCTTGAAGAACTAAAGCTCCCCACAAGCACCCTGAGCTGTGGTGAGGGAGCTCAGGACAGTGCAGGGTGTGAGACAGGACTGAGCAGTGTGAACAGAGAGGAGAGGAGGGATTGGAGTGTAAAAGCTTTGCTGTCTTTATCCAGGTTTTATCTGGAGCAGCCCCACACACCATGGAAAGGGACTCTGAAGGTGGAGCCCTGGGCAGGACACTGCTGTGCATGAAACAATGCCTTCCACTGCTTTTTTTGGCCACATTATTAAAAGTGACTGAATTCCTCGCTCTTACAAGGATTATTAAAAACAGAAATGGGAAGGGTAATCAAGTGAAACTACAACTAACTGCTCCCAGTATTTATGAGCCTCACTGCACTGCATGGAAAAGGCATAATTTATTCAATTTATTGGTTGCAAAGAAAGTAATTTACTTAGGTTAAAAATTTATCATCTTGCAATACAAGCCACTTTTCAACACTAATGAAGTTTACTCAACATGGCCAGAGTCTGAGGTGTTATATTGTACTGGAGCCAGAAAGATGGGGAGAGGAAGCCCAGTTTCATTTTCATACACCCATGAACACACTTGACTTCTCAAATTGGTTCCTGGTTGCCCCTGAGAAATTTGGAATTCCAGTGAAAAACCAAGAGCTTGGTGCAGGCAGAAAATACCCGAGGTCAGGAATTCCACAGGTTAACAGGGTGCCTGCATCTCAAAGCAGGACTTAATCACAAAATTAAGATGTTGCTGCCACAGTGGAGAACATTAATTCATAAAGACAGAGACCTCATCTACCTTTCACACACCACTAAATATGTGACACATCAGACTGAGGCTCACAGGCCTGTTTTTTTTCCCCACTCCCAAATGGAATCCTATTCCTTACTTCAGCAAAACTCCCAAGGAGTTCAAAGGGAGGTTGGGTTCAGGACAAGCTTCAATTAGGAGGAACCAGACAAACCCATCACAGACAGTAAAACCAAACCCAGCTCTATCAGATCACTACTCATAAAAAGTGGCTCATACACAGCAGAAATGTAAATTACTACATTTACATGTAAAAAGGGAGTTTGCCCTCAAGTAACAGTGAGCTCCAGCAGGCAGCTGGACATCCAGGTTTATTGCTGGGCTTCCAGGGTTATTCCTGAAGGAAAAAGTTTAGATGTTATATGAGGCTGGAGCCAATACTAGAAATTTTAATTATACAGATTATAACTGAAACCGGATGCTTTTAAATCAAGTCCTTCCAAGGCGAGGCTGCACCTTGCAAATGGTGTTTTAAAATAAAAATAAAATCAAACCCTCTGTGACATGATAAAAATATTCAGTTTCTAAACTTAGTTTACTTCCACGAGGTAAGAGGTCACGAGCTATTCATCCAACATCTTTCCAACATTTTTTCCTTTCCCATAATGAAACAATTTTCTATGGTCTAAAATTCTTTGTTACAAGCCTTTGTTGTTATAATTTATTTATTTTTATAAAGCAAAAATGGTGAGTTGTCCCAGAGACTAATACAGAGAGTAAGATGTGCTCCAAGCATCTGATTTGCTATAAATGCAAAATATTTTCTTTCAAGGTCCAGGAGACAACTCTGTGTGTGTGTGCACACCTTGGAGCAGGATGGAGAGGGACACATCAGCCTTGGAAGAGGAAGATGAAAAAATCAATCATTCCCACCAATTTAGATGCTCTACATTAAACAAAAGGCAGGATGAGTTGGAAGCCTCCTCAGAACAAAAGCTAGCCAGATATCCCAGACAGTCACATTGTTTCAGGAGGACTCGTGCAGAGCTGAAAAATCAGA